GAATCAGACCAAAATTTAATCTAAATTAAAATAAGGCATATTGACTTCTTAAGTCAACTTCAAATTTATTGACCTAAGAGGTCAATGAATGTTAGTGAAAAACACAAGTCAATATGTATTGCATGCATGAATTGTTCATGTCTTTATATGAAATTTCAAGCAAACTTAGCAAATTGAAAAGACAAGAAAGAAAAATGAGAAATACAGTGCCAAAGACAGCTCACAGATTTCAGAAGGCTTGGGACCGATGTATTATGCAATATGATCAACATAAAGCTAACATTGATTACCAATTCAGGGATAAATGTTATATGACGACAACAGCTTACACTTGGGGGTTTTTTTTTTTTGGACTCTTTGTACAACATGATATACAGTAAACCAGACCAAATTCTAAGTGACATTTTCTAGCTATTATAGTTCCAGGGATTTATCATTCCGTATTTATTTTTATTCAAAATAGTAAAGGTACCTGCCAAAGTCTGTAAGCTAACATAATTAAATACATAATGTATACAGTTAAATAAAATCTAACAAGCATCAATGATCATCAGTTTCATTAGAATTCAGCCACCAACCACTTGCCCCATTATCACCAAGAAGGCATACCTTCAGTCCAACAACTGGTGTTTTCTGGAAAATTACATTTGGGCTATTTCAGACCTACAGGGTAATCAAGTGCCAGACACTGAGAGCCCTGGATGAGATTCCTGGCCAGCCAGCCCTCTCTTTTATAAAGAAGAAAATACAGCTGGAACATCTCTGCTAAATTCAGCTGTGACAAGATGGACTGGGAAGGGTGGCAATACCTCATAGAGATACTTCCCAGGCCATGTAGTGTTTAAGGAGTTGTGTTCAACACCATAACTTTTCCCAGAGACTCAGGGACAGTGCTGGCATTATAGGTTTCTAGGGCTGAGGCACCATTCACTCCCAACAAGATGCCATGCTCAATAAATGAGCTATCCTATTATTCATCAATATCAGGCTCAGAATTTTTAAGGCATAGCCCCATATACATATACATATAGCATAATGCAATTGTTTAATTTGAGGAAATGAAAGCACGGGTAAATGTGTTAAAGTCTACAACTGAAAGGAAAGGTCACAACATCCTACACAGATAAACATGGTAAAAGGCTGACCCAGTCCTTGTCATCACATGATCAGACAAAGTAGCTGGAGTACAAAAATCATCTCCATGTTGCAAATACAAGTAACTTCTGGAAGACATACTCCTTTAGTCAAAGGCCCGTTATTACCTCTGTCATTCACCTCCTTCCCCACTGCACTATTATCAGCTCAGTCTTATTTGATCCAGGCTTTAATTGGGTCTCATTCATGCCTGAGTTCTAACTAGACACTGCCTGAGGTGCTGAACTGCCTTGTCCAAACCAGACAAGAGATATGCAATCAGCTACAGTCAGTAAAATGAAGACACCACACCCTATGCCTCCTCATGATAGACCCATATACATGGGCTGCAGTGAATCAAGAACACTTCATAACAAATGATACAGCTGGTAGATCCAATAAAGCCAGCATGAAAACTCAACTTCCATTGCCAAAAGATTACTGACTAATTCAAGCCTGTAAAACTGGTGGCCCATGGGCTACATGTAGCCTGCAAGCAGTTAATATTCAGCCCATTGGCGCCCATGCCCACTTCTCCCACTGCAGGGAAGGACTTGGGGCACTTGCCAGTGCCTATGCAGTCTGCACAGTGGGGGTCTGCTTCTGTTGGCACAATCCACATAACTGGGATGGAGGGTCAATGTGCAGTCGATACAATCAGCAGGATCATTGCCCATGCAATGTGCATTGGACAGCCTGGGACTAATGCAGCCAATACAGTCTTTGTGCCTAAACCACATTTGTGCCCAGACTGGCAAGGCTCAAGGAGACAGGAGGCATCTGGAAATGTGAGAGTTGTCCTACTCCACAAGGGAAAGTAAAAAAAAGATGTGATATTGATCCTTATATATCAAGTCTGGCAGCATCCAGCAAGGGCTGCATTATTGCTTCCTTCAATGCAATGGACAGTTTGTTTTATGATGGGTTTAGGGATGTTCTCCCCAAGCAACAGACCTAACACTTCTTCAGTGAACATCACCAGCCAGGAGGGACATGGATCCAAAGCAAAAATCACTGGATGAAGTTCTTTCAGTATTTTCAGCATCCTAGAGAGCATCACTCCCTGAAACTGTAGCAGAAAAAAATGAGGTCCTTGTTCCCTCATTGCTGAAAAGCCCATACTATAATATTAACATACTTCATAGCAACCAGAATAAAACAAAACAAAACGTCCTACTTCATGAACAACATCAAGTTCAGCTTTACACCAGAATTTCTGTTCATAAACTTTCCCTATGGCGTTCTATGCTATGCCATTGTTTAAACAAAAACAGTTATTCTTTATAGTCTACCATTCTCAATAAGATGCATCTGCCTTATGATCCGTATAAGTTTAATTAGAAAACTATAACTGGTTATAATTCACCAAAACTGCATAATTGAAGAGGAGGAAGGGCAACCATCCCTGAGTGTTTAAGTGCTGCATAAAGTGCTCTCAAAGAAAATTTATTGTGAATGCGTTTTTTCATTTTATAAAATGCCTATTTTTTAAAAAAAATCAGCAACCAGGATATATTAGGTAAAACTACATCATATATCCCTTTTTCTGGAGTATCACTAGGCTTAGTTATTGTGGTGTCCAGGTACTATGACAAGAGAGGAACCCTAACCAGTACCCATCCAACATTTTTTCTTCTCTGGCTACTATCTGTACTTTAGGTAAACTAGTAACACATAACCCTGTCATGAAACTCACTTTCCTAAGGCTCTGGGTGTTTCACATAAGGTGTTTCCTAGCATTTCTAACTGAAATTCCACCTAGATAGGTACAACTAGAAGATATTACCATCAGCCAAGTGTTCAAATGGGCAGCATGAAAGGAATGAGTGGCATCTGCTCAAATCAAAACTGTCACTCTTCTTGGTAGCCTGGAGAAGCCAAAACTAGATGGGACAGAAAAATGTATCCCTGTGGATATTGCTACTTTGCTTGCAGCAGTGGCTCTCAACATTTTCAGACTTGAGGTACTCCTCCATAACTTCTGTGAACCGAGGGCCACTCCATTTAAAAAACAAATGTATTTATTAAGTGCTTACTCCTTTGCCAAGGGGCCAGATAGTAAGTAGGGACAGGAAAGCAGATGGGCAGGGAGAAGCCTAACCCTGTGCTTATTTCCTCACACCTGCTTATCTCTTGCATGTTGCAGGGCTGTTGGTTGTAGCCCTGTTGGTCTCAAGGCTCTTTGGGTAGATGTGGTATCTTGTATTAGCTATCACATTTACTTGGCCTAATAAAAGATATAACATCTACCCAAAGAACCTTCCCTGCTTATCTCTTCAGGCTTTGTGGCACTTTTCAAAGGATCTGATAACACCCCAAGCTGCAACAATACCCTTGTTGAGAATCACTGGCTGACTGTGTGGGTAGAGCATATATTAATTAAAGCTGGTTTGGAAAATCATTCATGAAGGGCTTTTCAGAAAAAAAAAAAAGAGGAATCATTTTAAGGCATTATACTCAATCCACAACAGCTGTAAAATTATTTATCTTTAAGCCTACTTAGAATTGGCTTTAACAATACTCTCTTAATATGACCATTTTTTATCTCGAGTATTTCTGGGACTGTTAGGTCAACAACATCGCTCCAACACCCTCTTAGTATGAGAGGCTTTGCAATACACAGGAACTTGTGGTTCCCAAGCAGAGTTGGCACAACACAAACTCCATCCACCTGAGTATGGAAAAGGTCTCTGAAGGCTGAATCTTATTGCCAATGTAAAATGGAGTCACCAAAGCTCATTTTCCTTAGATCCCATTTTAAGACTCAGCGCCAGCAGATTTCAGGTGCTACTATCTTATCCACGCTGGTTTCAGTGGGAATGACTTGCAGATGAAGTTACTGCTAAGGACCTGGGAAAAAACATCTGATCTGTTTTGGGAGGAGAGGTCTGATGTAAACACAGGTGTGTGCCAGCTTAGCTGTCTGGCTGTGTACTTTGTCAGCCTCACGGTGTGTACAATGAGGGTGTGGACACAGGTAGGTGCCAGCCCCACCCTGTCCACTTCAGGGTGCAGAGCTGTGCACCAGCCTGGACATGTGCACAAAGGGGGTGTGGACACAGCTGCATGCCAGCCTGCCTGTGTGCACAATGGGGCACATATATAGGAGTGTGCCAGTCTGGCTGTGTACACAACTGGTGCACAGACATAGCTGTACAGCAGTCAGGCAGCGTGCACAATAGGGTGTGGATACAGGCATGTGCCAGCCCAGCCATGTGCACAAAGGGGCACAGACTTGGGTGCATGCCAGCCTGGCCATGTGCACTGCAGGGCAGAGAGAGCTGCATGCCAACACTGCCATGTGCACAATGGGCATGGGTATAGGTGCACATTGGCCCCACCATGTGCACAATGGGGGCACAAACACAGGCATAAGCCAGCCCAGCTGTGTGCACAATGGAGGCATGAACACAGGTGTGTGCTAGCTTAGCCAGGTGCATTGTGGGGGCACAGATACTGGTTGTTTGCCAGCCCAGCTGTGTACACAATGGAGTGCACATATAGGTGTGTGCACCTTGAGGCATGGACACAGCTGGCTGTGTGCAGAACGGAGCACATGTATAGGTGTGTGCCAGCCGGGCTGTGTGCACAGAGAGGCGCGCACACACACACACACACACACACACACACACACACACACAGGTGTGCACCAGCCAGGCGTGTGCACAGTGGGGCACACACACACTAGCTGGACATGTGCACAGAGGGACACACACACAGAGATGTGCACCAGCCGGGCCATGTGCAGTGGGGTACACACACAGGTGTGTGGCAAGTGGGCTGCTTGCAGAAGGGCACATGCGCGCGCGCACACACACACACACACACGTGTGCTCCAGCCGAGCCATGTGCAGAGGGGCACTCACCCACGGTGGGCAGGTAGGAGGCGGCGGGGCGCGGGCCGGGCTCGGCGTAGGCGCGCAGCACCGAGGTCTTCCCCACACTCGACTCCCCGGCCAGCACCAGCTTCACCAGCAGCGGCGCCGCCGCCGCCGCCATCCCAGCCACCAGGAACCGAAACCGGCCTCCTCGCCCCCGCCCGGGTTTCCGCTCCTGTTGCTTCACTCGCAGCGATCCCGCCCCCCGCAGACACAGCTGCGGACGCCGGCACACGAGGACTTGCGGGAAGGCGGTCACAGCCCTAGTCGGGGCCAAGCCGGGCCCCCAGCGCAGCCTCGCCCGAGGCAGGATCCGCCCGCACCACCCCCTGGTCCGCGGCACGGCCCGAGGCCCCCGCACCTGGCAGCCGCTGTCCTGCTTCTGGGACCTGTTGTCAGCACAAGCAGTCAGTCAGTCCCAAAGGGACACAAGGAAGCTCCTCTTCTTTTTTTTTTATACAGTGCGGGGCTGGTTGCCGTCAGGGAGAAATTAATTTGGGACTTCGGGAAAAGCAAAAGCCAGAGGCTGAGGAAGCTGGCCGTTTCCACAAGAGAGCGGGCAAAGTCTTGGAGGGAAGGGGTAGGAGGAGCTCGGGGGACAGTCTCTGCATCACAGCTTCCTGAGGCCCCAAGTGCTGGAGGCTGCAAGTGAGGGAGGAAAACACCCTCCTTATGCCCACTTCGCTCCCCCTTTCAGCACCCACTCTCTGCCCCGGGTGACACGGGCCTAGGGTGGTCATCACAGAGGATGGTCTGGTTGTCCTCTGCCCTCCATTGATACAAAACCAGATGCCTTTGTAGAGGACATAAAGGCATCCGGTTTCATATCAATGGAATAGCAGAAACCCAGAATGTCCTCTATGATGGACACCTTACACAGGACGCTGGGCAAGATTAGGCTGGACTGATCATAAACAGCAATTCTTACATTCTTCTGAAACCAAACAACATAACACCAAAGAGCTGAAAACAAGTCAGTGCTTCGTGAGGGGAGGGACAGCCCAGTGCTTTGAACAGGGAGACCAGCACCAAGAATGGAGCTTGAGGGAGTCTGCGTCTGTCACCAGTTTCTTTTCTGCCCTACTATCACTTGTCACTTCCAACTCCATTTCAGCTCCATTTTATTTTGGGTAATAAAACAACTCACTGAGATATATGTTTAAAAGGTGACAGTCGTACTGGAATTGAATGTCCCGCAAGGATAAAGAGGAACATCCTCGTTAGATCATCAGTAATCCTGAATAATTTTGAGACACAGAGGACACATGGTCTTTCTTTTCAGAGCCACTGACAGACTAGATAAAGTACAGCTGGTCCTCATTTAACGTCATAGTTACGTTCTTGAAAAAATGAGACTTTAAGCGAACCGATGTTAAGCGAATCCAATTCCATCACAGTAGTTACCTACTAGCAGGTGGCAGCCAAACAACGTCATAACCGAACATTGTGTGGCTTTAAGTAAGTATGTTCTCTAATAGATCAGCAACATAATAACAAAGCAATGTTAACCGGGATGATGTTAAGTGCAGGGTACCTATAACAGATGATCAGGTGCTGATGGTCATAGCCTGAACGCAGTCATTTCTTTTCTTAAAAATAAATATTAAATTTCTTTAAAATAAATCTTAAATAAATAAACCATAAATAAAAACAAGGGGCCAAATGGTTTGTTAAGGGCAATGATAGGCATTATAAACCAGGTCTGCAACAGTCCAGAGCTGCTGCTGCTCTGTCTTTCTCCAGTGTCATAGTGACTACTTTTGTTTACCCTTTGGAAATCCTGTCTTCTGGTAGACATCCATGAATATGGCTGAGGGCCATAAGTAAAAATACCTATGCCAAAACTACATTAAGATTTGCAGTACTGCACAGAACCTATAGGTTGCAAATGTACTCCTGGATTAGGATTAAGGAAATCCCTACTAGGATCTGCTGTTCTTGCTTTTTGAGTGAGTTTTAGCACAGGTGAGAAAGCAGAAAGCTTTGCTAGTACCTTTACTGTATGCAAAAAACCCCATCCCCCCTACCCCAGGAGGTACAGATAGGTATTAGTAATTTACAGTTTATTGCATGTAAAGTTTCTGGCACTAAAATAAAAAACAGTGGCTGCATTTACGCAAGACACTGCCTGCGCAGTAGCTCATTACTACTGCACAGTAGCATTGTGTGGCACGAAGTGTGACTCAGTGCTACTGCGCAGTACTAATGAGCTACTGCGCAGTCAGCATCATCAAAAAGCCATTTGGGAATACTACTGTGCAGTAATGCCAGTTACTGCGCAGTCATTTAGTACTTGTATATGCTTTGGTACTTGTATATGCAAGTACTAAATGACTGTGCACAGTAACAACTGCACAGTCAGCGTCTCGTCTAGACGCGGCCAGTGACATAAAAATAGGTTCTGAGAATGTACTTATCACAGGTGTGAGGTATTATTGGCTGACACTTTAAGACAGTTCTGATCTAAGTAATGATATATCTGAAGGCTGTCTGTGATTAGCCAAACTTGTTACTCCTCAGATACAAAACCTTTGGCCACAGGCTTATGTGTATGTTGAACCTGTTCTCACATGCTTGTGTGGAGATCTGAGGTAAACACACCTTGAACTATGCTTGTACCTGTGCTTATGTCTAGATGACTTTTGAGGCCATCCTACAGTTCCTAGTGGCTACAATTAATCAATTAATTTCCCACTTGCCTCTTCTATACCACAAGCTACTTAATGGTTTATAGTTAACCTTTATTTCTACATACCCTACTATGGTTTCTACACATTTTAGCCCAACACAATCAAATTCCAGTAAAGGATGCTTATCCTTCAACCTATTCTTAGCTGGCTGGAGGAGTAAGGCAGGATTCTGGTTAGCACATAGCACAAGTACTGCAAGGAGCATGACTTTGGGAAAAGCAATCAGACTAGTATATGGTTTGGGTTGCAAAGCAAATGCCTACAGATTCTCTACAGTAAAGCAACAGGCAGTCTGATAATTCCCCCTTTACAGGTTCCATCAACTAGGTCCTTGCCACCATCCTCAGAGACCCCACAGTCTATGACAAACTTCTGAGAAATACTGGTTTTATTATTAGACCAATGGAAAAGGGAATGGAAGCAGTACTGAAGACCCACAGTGTGCATAGGCCTGGTCTATTAAGGCCTACAGCACGATGTAGTTTGCAGTTGACATTTCACTTGCTTCTTGTGGCAGGCAAATTCTGAGCCCATTGTTAGGCTCTTCCACATCTACCTCATTTGTGCTTCCTCATGCAGAAGCTATGTTGGGTGCCACTGCTAGTCACCCAACATCTGCATAGTGATATAAAGCCACCATCTGCACATAGGGTGAATCTGTAGCTGTTGCAGGAAGCAAGGGACAAGTATCTTCTGTCTGTCGTGAATAAACTCCTCTCTGACTCTTACCATTCTTCCACGAGTCAAGAATTGCTGTTGAAATGCCTCTTATGTCTCAGGAATGGCAATAGGTTATCCAGAGGCAGGAGTATCTCACCTTCGTGTGCTATGTCCATAGCATAGGAGCGTGTAGAGTAGGAAGTGCCTCAGCTAAATGATTTGGCAGGATTAAAACACTTTCACACAGGGCCTGGGAGAGGCAGTAAATTCCTCTGCAATCCAACATAGGCTGATTCCTACAGTGCCTCAATTTAGTAAAGTACAAGAGAAGCCTAGGATAAGTCCTCCAAGCAATCCTGGTATCAAACCCATGTAACTGCAGTGTCTGCATGGATGTGGGTATATGGGTATTGTAGCGAAAATAGATACTTTTCTCTATGTTTCTTTGTTCCTTGTTTTAGTATTAACCCCTGCATTCTGTAACTTTCCACCCACATGGTACAGGATGGCCCACTACGCATGTCTTACATGTTGCCCAGGTTTTGTTTTGTAATGACCAATCAAAATGTAACACGCCAACTAAAAATTGCTAGCTCAATAAAAGCAGCGCGCGCGCTTTGTTTAGGGTCGACACTGATTTGAGCAACAAGCTCCTCTGTCGGCCTGCTTGCAAGCAATAAAATAGAGTTGGATCCAGCCTGAAAGTGTGACTCTCTTCTAGAGGTGAATTGGACTAGCCTCCAGGGGATAAAATCAGCAATTTATGCAACAGTATGGGTAATGACTGCTCTGCACTGCAATTACTGAAAAGCAGGGCTGACATATGTGCATGTATACATGTGAACCAGAAAACAAGAACACATTAACATACTTTGTAATATATCTTAAGGGCAGGGTTTGAAATATGGGAGGGTTCGAGGAGGGGGAAGACCTCTCCCATAAGAGATGAGAACCCCCATAAGTCCCCCAATAAGAGATGAGAGCCCCCTATAAGAAACAAGAGCCCCCAGCCCACCCAGTGCCTTTCTAAGCAGCTCAGGCGGCAACAGTGGTGGCTCCTTCCAGCTGCCATCGCCTCAGACCCTGCTAAGAATCAGAATGTAATTGAACCCTGCTTAAGGATATGTCTTTGCAGTTACCTGGTGTTACCTACACTGGCATTCATTATTCTTGAGTTAGTCTAGCTCAAGTGAGGGCAGCAATATTCCAGCTGCACAGACTAATTGGGCTGCTGCAGAGAGTGACTGTTAGCAGCTGATGAGTTGTTAATTCAAGCTTTAACTTGTATTCCCTGACAAGCTAGTCAACTTCAGGTAAAAGTGTCCTCATATTTAAGTTTAAGATTTTTGTGCAGGCAGGGCTGGATGTGGAACAGCACTTGATATATATAATGCAAGTGAATTCTTCAGTGAAGTCTTAAGTACCCAGTGTAACCACCTCTAAAGACAAAATATCATTTTTTCTCACAGTCCTATCCACAAGGGGACAGTCTTTCCATCTGTTATTACCAACTATATTACAGTTTGTAAGTTAACCCCTTGAAAAACTAGCAGTAGATGAATGCAACATAATGAAAAGTTGAAAACACAGTTCTGTGTAACTTAATGTTTTAAAATTAGGTTTCAAGTCTCAGTAACTCCTGCCTGTTTGTACTAGAGTTGTACCTATATCTTCTAAACTTCACAAAAATATTTCAGATCTGAGTAATTTGAAATAGAAGTTAATTCCTACAGTGAACTTGCAAATAAAGACCTAGTTTGATCAAGGTAATGGATCTGAGTGATTTAAAATACTGTGTGATCTACAACT